CTAATGCTTAGATTGCTGTGTGAATACATTACTGAGCATTATTCTGATACAAATAAGAAGTGAACATTAAAAAATTTAAATCTTACTTTTAGTGGTAGTCCTATTCTGCTGAAATGCTTTCCGACTGACGGCATTCTGTTGTAGATATTTCGCTTGGTTCTGGCTTTCGCTCGGTCTATTGCACTGTAGTTAAAAGTTTCACTTGCTAAACGAACAACCTGTGGATGTTATATCAGAAAATAGCAATCAACAATCATAAAGAAATGTTAAAAGTTAAAAAGTGTGCTTTATTCTGGATTGACTTCACTAGAACTGAATCGTTTTCTTCTTGGTGCTAAAGGTATTTAAAGATGAGAGTATCAACTCCATAGCACCAGGCTGTAGTTCAAAAGGCTTTGTCACTCTCTTCACAGCCGCTGTTCATCCAACAACATCAGCACACAAATTTTCTTTCTTCAAATGACGACTCCCAATCTAAAGGGGCATACAAATAAAGGCAGACCAAAAACACACAAAGAAAAGAGCTAGAGAATGAAGTAAAAATGATAGAAAGGACACAGGGTGAGCAGCATGCAACAGCAAGGGTAGGATCACTTTGCTTTAGTTGGCTGACGGCCTATGTTCCATTAGAATAAAGAAAAGGCAGCAGAATAAGAAGAAAAAGAAGGAGAAGAAAAAGAAGACATAAGATGAGTTAAACTATTCCAAATGTCAAGAAAAAATATTTTACAGGAATGATTTCTACACTGAATACTTCAAGCACAGCTTCAGCCACCTGCAACCCCAATTACTGGCACATTGTAAGGACATTTCAATGTGCTCACAGCAAAATCCAAGTTTCATATTAGAAATCAAAATCAACATCAGAAAAAATGTAAGAGGAAGAAGAAGAAGAAAAGCAGCATAAGAAAATAAGAAGGAAATGAACAGTAGCAGTGGTACAAGCAGCAGCAGTAGAAGAGTAGGAGAAAGTGAAGTCACAGTAGCAATAGCAGTAGAAGAAGAAGAAAGAGGAGAATAAGAAGATCAGAACAAGAACAAAATAGAATTAACTTTCCCTGTGTGGGTTCAAGAGCCTCATCTTTTTTTTGGGGGGGGGGGGGGGGGGGGGCACCCCCCCCCCCCACAAGTATGTAGTATTAGGCAACTAATCAGGCTGTTTGCTGCTTCGAAGTCAGAGCGCATCTGGCCAAGAGTCGAGGAACCAACAGTCTGTATTCAACAAGCCGAATTTGTAAAATGGATGCAAAAGCAAATCTAAGTTCTGGAACAAGACCAAAATCCAGAAGTGGGTGAACAACTCTAGAACTTTCAAGACTTTACGATGAACACTAAGAAGAATGAGCTGAACAGAACATAGGTGGGGGGGGGGGGGGGGGGGAGAAAAGAGGGAAAAAAATATTATTTTGTCAAAGAATATTATTTTGTCCTCTTGGTAAACTTTGCCATTTTCCCATCACAGTAAATGCCTAGTCTAAAAATACTGCACACAAAAAACTTTAGGTGACAATGACAGAGGCTAAAAGAATCTTCTAATCCAACTGGAATAAATAAAACATACACAGCGGCACATGACAGAACTGATAACGATAAATCACATGGAATAAACGATTAAAAGAAAATGAATATTGTGTGGAATATATCTATTTGTCAACTGTAAAACAGATTTTACAAGAGTGATAAAAATCCTATCCTGATACAAGATGAACCATGAAGAGTTGGACGATTAGTGAAAACTGATTTGGAAATGGCAGAGGTGTGGTTTTATAGACAAATGATGAGAATACCCTGGACAGATAAAAAGTAATGAAAATGTCTTGAAAGAAACTGACTCACGAAGCAGACTGATTGCCCACATCAGAAGGAGGCAATCTATAGTCTCTGGTCATGTTATGAGAAGAAGAAAACTGAAGTGCATCACCATGGTGGAAAAGTTGAAGGGGAAAAGAGGTAAAGGGGGACTGACAGAGAAGATGCTGGACAGTCTGACTTTATGGCATGAAAGATCATCTGCGCCAGACCCATATGTGGGTTGTAGGGCCCCATTGTGGGGGAAAAAAAGAACAGACCAACTGCCTCCACAACAAGGATGACTTAGGAGAGCTAATTGGAGACATCTTTTGAAGTTGGAGAACTTCTGCCTGAGAAGCAAGGAACTATGAATCTGCTTCAAAAAGCCAGATCTGTGAAACAGATGAGCACACAACACTCAAGTTCTAGAACAAGACTCCAGTTTGGAGGTGGACAAACTCACAGAACTTTCCGCTGGAGTTTACAGCTGATGAATGAGAAGATGATCTATGCCAGAATTGACAGAAAGTACACGAGACAGAAAGTTGTGGATAGACAAGATTACCAATGCCACACAGACTATAGGAAAAAGAAACTGGGAAGTGTCAGCTTCTTTAAAAAAGCAATGACAATGACAGAAGTGATGATGGTGCAGCTATACAGATTGTATCATGGTTAAAAGAAAAACAAACTAGTATTTTACGAAGCAATAAAGACTGGCAGAAAAATATCCTCACACGCAACATAATGAACCCTTATAAAAGCTTATTGGCTCTGCCCATGATAATTAACACAGCAATTGACCAAAGGTCATTTGAAGATGAGAATTAGATAGTGCAATGAAAGAACTGGATGGACATCGGGGAAGCTGTGTGTGACAGTAAAGGATAGGGCAACCTGGCATCATGAGTTGGATAGGGCCTATATATTGGGAGATAAAGTGTAGAATAGGAGGATACAATATAACAGGATACAATACTTGATGAGTCTCACTTGTAAGTAGTAAGACAGGTGTCTGTTTCCTAATCATTTTTCTCAACAGCTGAGAACTTTTATTACTCTTCTATGTATATCTACTCTGATGCAAACAAGGGGCAAAGAACACTTCTTATGCCTTGGTTGCATTGGTGCTGTAGCTATAATTTTACAGACCAACTGGTACTCGACAGGTGATCTAGTCAACATCGTGGTCACCTACAGTTCCCAGGATATTACCTGGCACCCATTCTAGCCTAGCCTAGGTCAACCTAGCAGCCCAAGTCAATGTTGAATAAAAAATCTTATCTCAATGCAGATTTGAACCCTACACTTTTGGGTGAGCAGGCAAGCATCCAGTAGATATACTGTCACAGAAAAGGATAGGACAACATGGTGAAGTTGGCTGAGAGTCTATCCTCTACTGGAAGATTTAAAAAAAAACATAAGACATCAATTTAGGACTCTCACATTTAAGCAGCAATACAGCTATTTATTTACAAGATCCTTTTTTACACAGTCAACTTTTCTCCATTTACTGCTTTGTTTTGTAATCTTCTGTTAAACAAATATCCAACTATTGAAGTTTTTATACCAACATGTTTTGTCAAGACAGAAATACTTCAAGCACAGAAACAATTGTTCTCTAGTGCATTCAAGTGATATTGACTCAAACAATATTTTTGGAAAACTGTGAAGAACAACAATCCACAAAGGTCACCCTTAATATGGCAATAACTGCTAAAGACTTATGTGAAGGTCCTAGATAAAATTCATTAGCCAGTAGAGATAACACTGTCTGACTAAAGGCACAGATAACACTGGTGGAGTCTAGTATTGTTCAGTCATGATCAACAACTCTGTGCTTAACCAACCGTGTTTAACAAACAATTTTGTGTGTGTCTGTTTTCATCCCTATTCTGCTTAGTTTACTGTTGGTAGCCAGCCCACTGCTTTTCTTCCCTACATGTGTGTCAAGTTAATTGTTGGTAGCCAGCCCACTGCTTTTCTTCAATACATGTGTGTCAAGTTAACTGTTGGTAGCCAGCCCACTGCTTTTCTTCCCTACATGTGTGTCAAGTTAACTGTTGGTAGCCAGCCCACTGCTTTTCTTCCCTACATGTGTGTCAAGTTAATTGTTAACCAGTAATCTCATTTTACTGAACTGTGCATATATGACAATCCTGTACTGAAGCAACAAGTTTGGGGTCAACCAACACTGATACTTCTAGCACATGGAGACAATCATCAATATGAGAATGTTTTTATGGTATTATGTATCTATATCTTGTAAAGAAATACAGCCTAAGACTTAACTCTTTGAGTCCCAGAGGGTTTAGCAACACAGACACAAGCGGTAGTGAAAAGAAACGTAAAATCGGCGCATCATGCGTTCATTGGGCTTCTAGGTAGTAACCTATGAAGTGTTCCTTGGGACTTTAAAAGTTAAGATTACCATCTAGAACAGTGGTCTCCAACAGCAGAGAAAGTCCCCCCCCCCCCCATAAGGTTTCAAGGGTGAGTGGGGTGGAAATGGAAGAGGGGGGGGGGGGGGGGGGTGTTACAGCAATTTTGACATTGGTTGCAAATGTCTTTGTATTAATCGGTTATTTTTTCAGTTTAATTATAAATTAAATAATCCAGTTTTTTAAAACTATTGATAAAACAAAAAGCCCAGGACATTTTTTGTTATCATAAGCAGTTTGTATATCTACCATTATTGCCCTTTTTTCTGAAGAGCATGTGGTGCAAAGGGTGCTTCAGATCTGAGCTTATCTTGAGGCATGTACGAGCCCTCCAGATCTTGATCCTGTAGTTCATGGTGGGGAAGTCAAAAAGGTACCTTACTGCTACACAAGAGGTGTCTCCAGTGCACCCTAGAATAATGCGCATTGCTTCGTTTTGCACCTTCTTTTAGTCTGAGTATGGCTGACAGTGAGAATGGATAGAGCCTAATGACTACTGTTAGCAGGTGTAATTGTTTTCAGGTTTAAAAAAAAAAAAAAAAAAAAAAAAAAAGAAAGTACCGGTATACATTACAGTGTCTATTATAAAAGCACTGAAAGGGAAAAGCCTTAGATAAATAATATTTTTTTTTAAAAGATGCCAGAACTACACCTGCCGTGTACTGCACACACACACACACACACACAAAGCACTGACAGGACTAACGGAATGAACACTGCTGCTTTTAACAGATAACGACTATCATATTAAGAGCTCCCATGACTTACCTTTGTCTTAGGCACGACATTTAGTCCCAATTTTTGATCCACTAAACTTGCCCCAGCTTCAGATAAATAACCTTGGTTTGGTACAAGACAGCTTCGTCCAAAACAGCACGGACAGCACAACTTGTGCATCCATTTGGTCCACTTTGGGTTGAGAAGTCCATATGGTTCTTCATCTTTCGGCTTGAAAACAGCTATTGTTTTCTGGGGACAAAACAAGAATTGAAGATACATTACAAGTTTTAGAGAGATTTCATGGTAACACGGACACCTGAACAATATCCACTTACCTGAGGCACAAGTGCTTTAATTTTCAAACATCACAATGCTAACAGAAGAAACAAAAGTGTGCTGCACAACAGCAAATATTAATAAAGAAATAGACAAAGCTGTATAACTGTGAGAAGATGGTGGTTATTATACTTATACTTGATTTTCTTAAAGAAAAACTGAAATATTTTGAAGCACAGATGTACACACAAGAAATCAATAATAGTGACAGACAGCAAAGAACAAGAAATCAATAATAGTGACAGACAGCAAAGAACAAGAAATCAATAATAGTGACAGACAGCAAAGAACAAGAAATCAATAATAGTGACAGACAGCAAAGAACAAGAAATCAATAATAGTGACAGACAGCAAAGAACAAGAAATCAATAATAGTGACAGACAGCAAAGAACAAGAAATCAATTATAGTGACAGACAGCAAAGAGCAAGAAATCAATAATAGTGACAGACAGCAAAGAACAAGAAATCAATAATAGTGACAGACAGCAAAGAACAAGAAATCAATTATAGTGACAGACAGCAAAGAACAAGAAATCAATAATAGTGACAGACAGAAACCGAGGAAAAGCACACTCAGATTTAAATTTTACATTAACAGTTGCACAATTTTTGTCAAAGCCATAGGTGTTAGCTGTGAACAAGCTCTTAATATCTGTTCACACATTCCCTTATGCAAGACAATAACCTCTGACAAAAAATGTCTGACTCTTGCTTCCTGCAGCCACGTCATTTAAAACTAGCAGGAGCTGGAGCAAAAGACAAATTTAAAATCTTGAACTGATACAGACTGTGAAAGCCTAATGCTTCAGACCAACATAGAAGTATCTCATTTAGAAGAGGGCCTTATTTATGCCAATGGTGCCACGTTTTCACCGGGGCAGTCCCATTGCTAAGGTATGTGCTGGCCGTCCTAGTGGAACTCAAAAAAAAAAATTCAAATTGTCCCATTAAAAATAATCTAGGAATTTGGTAGAGAAGAGAACATATACTAGAAAAAAACTTCTAATGCCTGAGATGTGCTGATGGAAAGTTTCAGTGTGTAGTATGTTTGTTTTTTATTGCAGTAAAAGAGCATCTTGTTTAGTTTATTTCTTGGCAACAATTTTTCGGGTTTTAATACCATTGTTAAGTGAGTAACCCTGGTTACCTAAAAAAAAAAAAGGGGGGGGGGGGGGAGAGGAAGAAGACGGGTTGACCTACTTGCCTACTTGGAATGTCCCATTTTTAGCTAAAAATATTAGTGGGGTGTCCTGTTTTCAGCTCAAGCTATTATGGTCAACAATGTTTCGGGTTTTAATACCATTGTTAACTTAGTAACCCTGGTTACCTAAAAAAAAGGGGGGGGGGGGGGGGAAGGGGAGACGGGTTGACCTACTTGCCTACTTGGAATGTCCCATTTTTAGCTCAAAATATTAGTGGGGTGTCCTGTTTTCAGCTCAAGCTAGTATGGTCAACAATGCATTGGACGTATAGTGCTTGGCTCATATTTTTCATGGACCTGTCGTACTCAGTGGATGATGTAGCCAACTATTTTTAACTTTCCAGGAAATTTCCTGGTGCCCATTTGTGACTAACTGGACCTGGCAGCCTAGGTGATATTTTGTTGTTGTCCAATCTGGCTTGATGTAAATTCAAACCCAAGACTTTTGGGCCAGTTAGAAGTTTTCAGTTAGTGGCTAACTAGTGGCAGGTACAGCTGAAATCCCACTAAGGCCGCAAACTGAGTGATTAACACCTGGTGACTCACCAAGTCACTATTTGGATGAGAATCCCCGAGGTATAAATCCCAGAAACCCTGTTCACCCTAAGGTTACACTGAGGCCTACGATGGTTACAAAGTAAGATGAAGTTCCAGGTCATTAAACTATACATAAAAACATTCACACATGACTGATTATATAGAGAACTGACAAACATATTACCGCAATCAGAAAGCATGAATACATGTTTATTCACTGTTATGAAGCGGTTACAACATTTGTGGAAATATTAGCATTAACACTAGCCTATCTTGTTGTGTCAGAGCGTATCAATGACCTATTTTCCAAATGAATGAGTGAATCACACGGCACATATGTGACACAATAAACATAAAAGCCACATAACATACATACACATATACAACTCCAGGACATAGTCTGTAAGATTATAAATGGCCTAGTGGCTACATCATGTTGTGGTTTACAGGCAGGCTTCAATATCTGCAGCCTCTGGCCCAACACATCTAGTTTCAGCAAATCCCTGATTATTTGCCTTTTACAACATGCCTGTTAAGGTATTGTTGCCCCTAAAAATACGAGCCTGGACACTCTTAGAAACTTGCTTCTAAGTGCTGATTCACAAAGACATTGGTATGCCATCATACAACAGGATCTACAGCGAACGGCGACACAGCTTATCAGCTGTCTGTACTGGTGGCAGAGCACTTATGGTTTATAACCGTGTGCAGTGGCGCTGGTTCACATCTCCCAACTTTACCTTTGTATCATCATGTCATATAGGGTTTGCAGTTTAGTCCTCCTGTTCTTTCTCTTTCATGCGTTGTTTAAATATCACAGATGAATCCAGTCCAGAACCTTTGGTGTCTCCCAACAACGCTTGTTTCAGGGCCGCTCTTGGATTTCCTTGTTTTCTCATGATGCCTATTTATTACCATCATCAGTGTAATGGCTTGTTTTCAGGGTCAAGGGGAGGGGTCAAAATATAGAAATAACTATGAAGATGGCACAGAACCTGTAAACAGCACTTAATACATAAAATACAAATAGGCGAGAGAAGGACATTTGTAAATTAAAGAAACACAGAGGAAGATGGACATGGCTTGTTTCATGGACTGAGAATGTCAGCAAATGCAATTTAAGCATGCGTGGCAGAGCAAGTTCAATGACATTTATCTCTTCTGGTACCAAAAGGTTTCAAAGGAGATAATTAGGCGAAGGAAAAAACCCTAATGAAAATCATAATGTTTAACTTTTAATGCAGCAGACGTGACCATGAGGGAAAAGACTGATTTCTTGAGTATCAACATCATCATTTAGCAGGTCCTTGGCAGTAAATTGCACTCATCATGGTCTGAGAGAAAATAACTCTGCCTCTCACCAGTTCTCCTGCCTCGAGTACTTTCATTTTCAACAGTCACTCATATCCTGTGCTCATCTACCTTTTGGTTGGCCCCGCCTTCTTCCTGTTACCATGCCTTCTGCTGTTAGTTTTCCCAATCGGCATTGGGGTTTGAGAGAGACCGAGTACACATGGAGAGAGACCCAAGTTTCTATCAGGTAAACCGTGATAAGACCGACGCTCTGCAAAGGTCATGCTACAGGATGATGATGGTACTTTCTTTAGCTCTCTCCAGGTAACCATAGTAACCTAGCTCCTGGTGTCAAAGAAATTCACAGCATTGGTCTCCAAAGCCTGATCTTCACTAACCTCAAATTCTTCCTAATCTGCCCGTTCACATTCCAAGATTCACTGCCATTCCCTCTCTTACTCCCTTACTCTTACATATGACATTGCTACCGACTACCCTCAGTAGGATTCTTTTGATGATACAATGAAAAATACAACATTTGAAAGAAAAACATTGGTATGCATCTGTAGTAATATATAATACAATTACTGTCCCGAACTAAAAAGTCTGTGGTGCAAGAAGACAGCAATATAGTGAAACGCTTAGCAGAAAGAAAGCTGAACACAAGCACGCTTGTGGCAAGGAGATGACTAAAAAAAAATGATAAACAATCAATGGGATAAGGTTAAAAACAAAAGGAAGAAATCAATGTCTGGACAACCACATGCGTTAACAGTTATGAGATATAAGATGGCAAGATATTGAGAACATAATGAGAAGTGGACACAAAATCACTAACAGGTGTTGAAATGAGAAGATAAAATGGACTAAGAAAACAGGACGCCCAAGATGAATGTAGTTACAAGAAGCCAAATGTGCCGGATAAGATTCCATTCATGATATCGCAGACTGCACAAGACAGAGCAGAATGAAGGACTAGACTGTGAGCCCTATTTAGCGTATGAAAGCATAACAGAATGATGATGATGATACTTGTCCTAAGCCAAGCAAACAATAATTCTGCCCCTATCACAACGTGTATTCGGATAATCAATTGCAAAGCCAGCGACAGCTGTTCCCATTTCTATTTTATGAATCAGAAAACGTTTATAAAAAATAGGCAGAAAACAGACTTGTCATTACACAAAAGTTAACACTGAAAGCAAAAATGATAGGAAGAAAAATCTAGCCCAGAAATGAGCGAGATAAAGAAGTGATAACACTTAGCAGACAAATAACTTTACTTTTCCATACTGGAATGGTCATGGTCACAATTAACCCCCCCCCCCCCATTTACAAAAAACCATATGTACATTTTCTGTAATTGGTATCCCTTTTAAATTTTTGGGAAAACTGCCAGAGCAGTGATCAATTATGGCCTACTGTTTATAACTTCCAACTGCTGAGTCATCTTTGAGATGTTTTAGCATGCATTTTTATCACTCTTATCCACAAAAGGTTCGACTCTTTCTTCCAAACATACAAATGCATTTACAGCATAGCTGCAATATTTGCAAAAGCTGACATATTTGACTTCTGAAGGCATCTGTTGCCTGGGTTAGTCTTTCTGGGGTTATACATCTGATCCACTACATCACGATTAGGAGGTGTGTTTTATCTGGCATCTTATTTAAAAAAACTACAACCTTAATTTATGCAACTGAGGCATATAACGAACAGGAAATAACATGTGCCTTGTCAGCGGGCAAAGACATTCAAGGTTCTTCAAATATCTTGGTCCTCTGTGTTATGGATTAATTCTTCTGTAGATATTTCTTTGTGCCACATTCTTAGATCATCCAGCATCATCTCTTGTGTGCCTCTCTTCTGCTGATTGTCATG